CTCCTACTGAGGCCAGAATGGCACACGAGTGGTTGGGTGGACAACACCACGCACGGCCGCCTTTGTCTCCCCGATGCTGATGTTTACACCCCACACCAGGTACTTACTCATTTAATGCTGAGTCGACCTAGGAGAGGCCCGGGATCGGTTCAGATATTCGCTGACACTTGTTATTGGTCGTGAACGGGAATCGAACTCGGGTCGCCGGGTTCGTGGTGGGGTGCAGCGCTAACCACTGCGCGCACCGCTCCCAGCGACGGCATTCGATGCACACGCCGACAAAGATCCCCCGTGTAGCCTTAACAGACTGTTGGGGCAAGTGCTGTTAGCGAGCGGCATGGCACACAAGGGGGTGGGTGGCCAGCTCCAAGCCCGGCCGACCTTTGTCTCCCCAGTGGCAATAATTTTTACACACCGCACCAGGTACTCATTTGAGGCTGAGTCGACTTCGGGGAGGCCCAGGACCGGTTCAGATAATCGTCGCTGGCGTTGGCCATCAGCGGGATTCGAACTCGGGTCGCCGGGTCCATAGTGCAGCGCAGAGACAGACACACACAGACAGCCACAGACAGACACACACAGACACACACAGAGACAGATACACACAGACAGACACACACACACAGAGACAGATACACACATACAGATACAGACAGACACAGACAAACACACACAGACAGACACACACACAGACTGACACACACAGAGACAGACACAGACAGACAGACACAGACAGACACACACAGAGACAAACAGACACAGACAGACACACACACAGAGACAGACAGACACACACAGACAGACAGAGACAGACAGACACACACACACAGACACACAGACAGACAGACACACAGACAGACACAGACAGGCGGCGCTGTGACCACGGGACACGGGCTGCAGCTGCAGCAGCAGCAGGATGATGATGATTCTACTGCTGCTGTTCTTGCAGCTCCGGTTCACCCCCCTCCCCCCACCGCGTCACTGATCCCCCCTCGGGGGCTCTTTACCCAAAAACAACTCCAGCGACGAGCAGCGAGAACCACCACCACCACCACGCTGTGCGTCGTGACAGACAGGGAACAACCCAGACGCCCCCACGCCTCCACCCCACTTCTCGTTTGCACTCGCCAAACAGAACAACAACAACACAAAGGTCCTGCAGTCGATGCTCACGCGATTGCTTTCACGAGCGCATTCGTGGGTTCGAATCGACAACTCTGCGCGTGGTCACCGTGCCGATGGCCACTGCGCGTCCCTGGGTCCCGGCCATCGCGACCCGCGCCCGGAGCGGGTCCCACGAAGGTCAACAAACACGTGTTGCCAACGCGGAGTGCTTTGTGCTGTTCACCTGCTAAAGTGGCGTGGCCATTCACAATCTCCCACCAGTCCTTACACGCGGCTCTACCCGCGTTTTACGAGCAGCACTTTGCCGTTGGCCATCGGTCACCTCCATCATCTTTAATGAGTGAACAATCTCCTACGCAGGCTGGATGGTTGATTTGCCTTTGGACAAATGTTCAAATAATCATTTACAGCCCTGCTGATCGCAACGAGCCTAATGTACCATAATCAGCCACGATCTATCCGCTGCTTGATGGAGGCGTCACGAGCTGATTTCATCGCTCCATCTCCACGGCGGACGTGCTGGCACTCGGGCGCGTTCCCTCCTTCGGCCGCCATTCCGTCTTTGGTCTCGACCATGATGATTATCGTGACCATTATCCCACCATGTATAGTAGCGTATGATTTTTTGCACAACTCGTGAGCAGTCAAGAACATTGCCTGCGTTCCACGAGACACAGTTGAACGCATCTCGTGCGTGAAATTGATCCGCGCGTCTCCGCGTGTCGCCCGTGCTCAGAGCGGGAGGAGTGTCTCATCGAGGCGCCGCCACCTCGCGGGTCTGGGCTCGACTCCCGGTCTCGCCACCCTCCCGGTAAGATCTCTCCTCTCCGAGTTCCCTCGTCCTCTCACGGGGTGGGACACTGCGTAGGCCAGGGGTAGGGAACCTTTCTTCTGCCAAGGGCCATTTGGATATTTATAACATCATTCGCGGGCCATACACAATTATCAACTAAAATATTTGCCTGTTATATTTGGTCAAACATTTAATTAACTCACCCCTAATGTGATGGGCTGGAACTGCTTCTCTTTGGCGAGGCGTGTGATGTTAGCTGGTATTGATTATGTTGCTGCTACTCGCAACTGCTTTTCCAGGTTTGCTCCTAGATTTATTGAATTTCGAGTCCCGCCTGCGGTTGCCTTGGCAGGGCCAGAGACCAAATGATTTCAGGGGCCTTATACGGCCCGCGAGCCGGACGATCCCCACCCCTGGCGTAGGCGACGGGACGCAGCGGTGACGGAGATCGAGACGTTGCTTGCGAGATCACTTCCATCGCTCGCCAGCCGCAGCATTCGCCCTGCCGCAGGGAATTATTGTGGGCACGTAGCAGTTAAACCAATCTTTGTTGGATAATCATCGGAGTCGGGCGTTAGCTGTATAACGTGAAAGACCACACTTGATGTGATTACTTTTGGTGCGCATTCATTGGTGAGCGGGCTGAAACCATCAACTGGCTACACTTAAGAACCCGGTTTTAATCATGGGTGGATGGAACCCAGTTTTGAACTCAGGATCTCAGCAGTGTCAGCTTGACACTCTCTAACCCCTGGAACCGCGCGGTCACCCCCACAGAAGGTGATTCCTAACGGTAGTCCTCACCTTCATTGCTCATCTCCTTCACGTGCCACCGGTTCACTTGCGATACGGCCAACGCAGCTCACGTTCGGGATCCATCCCTGAGCCTGAGTCAGCTTTGCAAGAGACTTGAAACGGCGCTGTTCCAAAGAGCTTGCAACGTGTGATGGGTGTGCATTCGTGATGGACTCGACTCACAAGAGTGCGCGATAAGCAATGCTCAAACTTGCTTTGTAGGTTTCAATGTATGTGTGTGTGTGATGACAATGCATGCGTGTGTACGCGTGTGTCTGCGTGAATGTGTGTGCGCGTGTGTCTGGGCGAATGTATGTGCGTGTGTGTCTGGGCGAATGTGTGTGCGCGTGTTTGCGTGTATGTGCGCGTGTCTGCGTGTATGTGCGCGCGCGTGTGTCTGCGTGTATGTGTGCGTGTGTGTGTGATGACGACGCTGGCGCACGCCGATCGCAAGACGTGGACGCGCAGCGAGTGCCGCTGGGATGGGTCGGCGCGACGGGCCGAGCCTTCACCCCGGACTCGGCGGGCGGCGACCCGTCACGGGGGTCGTACGACAGCCGGCCCGGCAGCAGGATCCGCACGCCGGACTTCGGCCGGGGCCCCGCGCGCATCGAGTGGGGGCCCGAAAACCAGGCCATCGAGGGGGTCATCCTGTACGGCAGCACGCTGGTGCACCGCTCGGGGTACGCGCCCGGCGAGCGGCGGCCTCTCTGCCGCCAGGGCCGCCAGGGCCGCCTCGCTGGCCACGCCTCGCAGTGCTTTGGGATCGCTCCTAAAAAGAAAGGGGTCTCTCGAGGTTCAGTGAGGCTCTCCTGGGTATGGTTGGAGTCGAGTTAAAACCCCACCACACTGTGGCCGTCCCTTTCCTTTTTTTATAGAAGCAGGTGAGAGCTCACAAAGCCCAGGCCGTGGCAGGGTGAGGTGCAGGTGAGGGGTGAGGTGCAGGTGAGGGCTCCTTGAGCCCAAGCCGTGGCAGGGTGAGGTGGCAGGTGAGGGGTGAGGTGCAGGTGAGGGGTGAGGTGCAGGTGAGGGCTCCTTGAGCCCAAGCCGTGGCAGGGTGAGGTGGCAGGTGAGGGGTGAGGTGCAGGTGAGGGGTGAGGTGGCAGGTGAGGGCTCCTTGAGCCCAGGCCGTGGCAGGGTGAGGTGGCAGGTGAGGGGTGAGGTGCAGGTGAGGGCTCCTTGAGCCCAAGCCGTGGCAGGGTGAGGTGGCAGGTGAGGGGTGAGGTGCAGGGGAGGGCTCACAGAGCCCAGGTCGTGGCAGGGTGAGGTCCCCGTTACTTGCACGCTGCAGAATCAGAGCCCAATGGATCAGTGTGGAAAAACAACACCAAGCATGCAAACAAAATGGTGAAATAAAAAGCAACAATATGATGCAACACTTGCCAATACATTGGGATACTGACAACAGTAAGACGTTTTAAAATAACTGATATTTCAAACTGTAATCAAAGTAATTTCTATGCACCCAGAGTGTACACCAAGTTAAACCTCAGAAACCATTGTCACCGGCACTGTTTGTTGCTCTGCACTCTTGAGACGCTGCGCGACGTTGTGGGCACGCAGCGATCGTGGGTTGTCGTCGTCTAGTCCCTACAGAGTGCGAGGACCGTCGGAGTACGGAGTCCGCCCCGCGCGGTCCCCATCGGAGCGAGTCGCCAGCCCCGCCGTCACCCCGCAAGCGGTGCCGGAGGACATCGACGGCGGCGGCGGCGTCAAGACAACCACGGCGACCCCGGTGACGCCGCACCGCAAGACGGAGACCCCGGCGAGCTACCAGGACGTGGTGCCCAACGAGCTGGACGAGCGGAGGGGCGTGGGGGCGAGGCACCCCGCGCCGCACGGGGCCCGGATCCCCCCGCACGCCCACCCGCCGCTGCCCCTGCGGAGGCGTCTGGAGACAAAAAGGGACGCGGCGGCGGCCGGTACGGCGTTCGACGCTCCCAGGGAGATGTTTTATCGAGGCGGCGTGAGGATGCCTTCCAAGATCCAAGACAAGCTCAAACTGCCCGACTGGCAGCGGCTGGCGTCGTCGTCCCCCAGCCAGCCGGCGACGAGGAAGATCCCGCTGTTCAGCTTGTGGAGGAGCCGCTCGTTCGACCAGTTGCCGACCGTTCCGCCGATCAGCAAAGCCCCGAGTTACTCGAAGGTCTATTCGCCGCAGCTGACCAGGAGGCACGGCAAAGACGGGGAAAACGCCCAAGACGCCCCGTGGAGGTTCCCCGCGAGGGGGATGAGGGAAAAGGCCGCGTCCCTCGATGACATGAGGCCCGCGACTCCAGAGCGGCGGGAAAATCAGGAGCTCCGACGCGAGGCCGCGTCGCCGGCCTTGCCGGGCGGCAGAACTCCGAGCCCGAGGCAAGCGTCGAGGTCTCCGAACGGGTGCCCGCAGAGGGTGCCGTCGGGACTCCCGGCCGACAAGGATGGGAGAGGCGAGACGCGCGACCTGCCGGCGCCAAGAGAGAAACCGACGGAGGGCGACCGGCGCGACGGGTCGACGGCGGCTCCGGCTCAGCCTGGAGCTGCCGCCGTGGCGCCCTGGAGGCAGCGTCCCACGATGGCGAGGAAGCGGCTCGCAGGGCAAGGACGCAAAGGGGTCCAAGGCTTCGGAAGCGAAGGTTCCTGGCGACGACTCGAGGCGGCTCGGCGGAGTTGAAAGGCCGTCGATGAAAGTGAGCAGCTCGGCGGTTCCCGCGGTCGCTTCTCGGTCACGCGTGGACGTGCACGCAGGCGCGGAGTGGGGCTCGGGCGGAACCGGAGAGGGGATGACCTCCAGCGAACCGTCGACATCCGGGAGGCAAAGGGACACTCTGCCCGCAGCAGCTCAAGCCGAGGATAAAATTGACATCTCCCCAGAAGGTCATGCGAAGGCCGTCCACGCCCAAAAGCGAACGCCGGCTATCGATGGTGGAATGCCGCCGGGGCAGCAGGAGGCGGAAGCTATGGATGTGGTGGAGCAGGGAGCGTGGGACGATGATCAGAGGCTGTCGAACAAGCGCTTTGCAGAGCCCAAAGAGCAACTCGACGAGAAGAGGAGGAGAATCGCCGGCGCCGTGCCCCAGGCTGACGAGAATGCGGGCCTCGCGTTACACCCTTCAGAAGAACGCTTGGATGTGGATAGAGGTACGTTCACGGACGCGTTGGGGACTCGTTTTACCCGTGTGTTCCTCGTGTGAAATAACGTCGTATTGTTGGGTCACTCTAAAATATACCATTATTTGAATGCATTACATTGCACTAATACACCATCAAGTTGCGTGACAGCTTCCATAATTAAACATGCAACGGAATGACGTCTTAATTCAACTGTAATTGTAATGTTTTTAAATAAATCTATTAAGAATTGAGGTCAAAACGGCGAAGGTAGCCCTATGCCCAAATAAGCATCGGGCGTTTGCTCATTTCTGTTTGTGTCCTGAGCGAGCGGTGGAAATGCCACGTTGCTGCGATGGTGATTGGTCTTTAGCCCATGTGCGAATATGTCTATTCATAGCGCAGCCGAATGTGAACTTCCCACCAAGCGGTGCTCAGTTTACACACCCTAGAGGGTGTGATGGACCGAGTTGACCTGGGTTGAGATTCGGACCGTCACCCTCAGAGGCCCGTTGCTGCCACTCAGTGACTCTGCATCACGGCAGCACGCAGAGCCGTCCCCTGTCGGGTAACTGGAGCAGCGTGGCTTCACCGCTTTAGATGTTTTCCGGATGGTGCTGTTCGCGTCAGGGAAATGGACACCCCAGAGCTACCTCGGAGTTTCCGTCCAGTGACCACCAGGCCTACGCCGTAGGGGCCGGCACTTTAATCCCACGAGCTGCGAATTTGGCCCAAATGTAGCGCAGAACCAACTTGTGAGTGGCGGATTTTCTTTTGTGGGAACAAAATATTTGACCAGACTAAATGACCTTGATTTGAAGCTTTCGTGACTGCAGGAATCCATACTCTTTGATTCTTTTGGTAGAGTCACGTAGGATAGAAAATAAAATAAATCACGACGTTTCGGTCGCAACACAAGCGTCCGTCATCAGGTGAGAAAAGGCCTATCTCACCTGAAAAGCCTTTTTTATTTTATACCTACGTGACTTTCCCGAAAGAACCAAAGAGTACAGACTAAATGCCGTCAACTTTCCACGCGCCTGGCGACTTAGTCTAGTCCGTGGGCAGCCGCCTCCATTGAACCCAGGGGGGACCTCTGCGGGGTCGGGCTCAGCGAGTGGGCCCCCCGCTTGACGCGCTGCTCGTTTGCCGGCAGCCTCGGCGCGGGTCCCGGCGGGCTACGCGGCGTCGGACGAGGAGTACTTCAGCTCGGTGGAGGACTCACGAGCGGGCGCGCGAGGAGCGGGTGTCCTCTCTGACGAGGAGGAATACTTCAGCCCCGGGCCGAGCAGCCGCCCCACGTCGCCTGCCAGGGCCCGCACGCGGCCCCCCGAGTTCCAGGTTCGTCTCCGGTCGATGGCAGCGGCCACATTTCCCACGTCCATCGGGCTGACGAGACGTCTCCGGTCGATGGCAGCGGCCACATTTCCCACGTCCTGGTCGAGACGTCTCGTCGGCCCGATGGACGTGGGGATGCGTCGCGCTTGTGGTGCGGTGTGAAAGTGCGTCGCGTGTGAAATGTTTAGGTGGGCAGGTAGGCGGCTCGTTGAAGAATTGAATAAGAAGGAAATGCACGCCACACGCAGCTGTGTTAATTTGGGATAGTTGGGGTGGCACAATCAACCGCCCCATCAGCGATTCATTGAATTGTCACAATTCAGAGTCACAGTTCGATTCAATAATGTGTTTTTGACATTTCTCTGAATAATAGCTCCTCTAGTGGCTGCAGGAGTGATGTAAACCAATTTCAATGCAACATGCGAATGGAAGAAATTTAGATATTTTTTTCACACGTGCGATTGAATGAATTTAACGCACACTTAAAGAGTTTCTATTCATCAATGAGCCTATGCATTGATACAGATACCGCTCTGACGTAAGCACATCACAAATGATAAGATGGATAAGGTGTCCCACCGGTGGGTGAGCGTGCGAGCGATTCATCCCACACCTTGCGTGCATCGGTGTGGCTCACGGAATCAACTGGCGTGTCACTGCGCTCCGTATCGCAGGTGGAGATGGCGGACCAGGAGATCGCCGAGGGCCATGACGCCTGCTTTAGGGTGAACGTCTCCGGGGAGCCCGCGCCGTCCGTCTCGTGGTGAGAGACGCGCAAGCGGACAGCAGCAGCTGCACGCTCACCTCGGCTTACGCACCCTCACTTAGAGCGTCCGTGCTCATGTCGAGCAACCTAAGGCCAATACATGATTATTCCTAACTCGTAAAATCGTTCATGTAAACTGGCAGGCTTTACTCATTTGTGAAACACAGTGTCGCCACGACAACGGCATGAGTGCCTGATGTCCTGAACGAGTGGTTGGTTGAAGACTGTAATTGCATCGGTATGTTATAGAGCCCTGCACAGGCACACACACCTGCAACACAGAATTTCGGAGGCAAGAGTTGGTGGATCACACAAACATTGAGATGGCTTTGCAGCAAATGTCTTTATTACATCTGTGTGGGGCCGTGAGTGCGATTCCCTCTTCCCACATGCCAACCACTCACGAAAGAGGATTTAGATGACAGAAGATGGCAAACCAGACAGCAATCATGACTGAGTGGCATCCGGCTCAATCACTGTGAGAGTTACAGCCTTCTGAAGGCCGCTGACATGGATTTGAAATGTCTCCTAAACGTAAGGTACAAGGACAACGTGTGGATCCACGAGGACGCTCGGCACCACGTCCGCGAGGAAGCGAGCTCCGTCTCCTCGCTCTCCGTGCTCCGGGTGACGGCACCGGACGCCGGCACCTACAGCTGCCAGGCCGTGAACACGGCCGGCATGCGGCAGTGCCAGGCCCGCCTGGAGGTCACAGGTGAGGCCCCTCGCCTTGACCGGCCGCTCACCTGTGCGTGCGACAGAGGTGTGTCAGTCCACGCTTACACTGGACTCGCGCTTTCACAAAAATTTACAAAGGTCCTTGTGGAGACCCCAAAGCAGCTGGGGGCAAGAACTCTATGTACTGTATGCTGAACTTCTTTCGCACAGTACGTAGTCAATCGTGCTCATCGGAGGTGGGTGAGCGCAACAATGAACTCGCCGACCTGAGTTTGATTCCTGGCCACGGCTAATGTCATTTGGCGAGATTTATCAGAATCCGATCGTGGTTTTCCACAAATAAACGAAGTGTTTGTTGCGCCGTGTGCGCGCGTCAACGTTTCACTGTCGCCGGTTGCGGTGGTTTGCGATGTCCAGCGAAAGCGGCGTGGGAGGAGGGCGCCGTCCCGGCCGCCACCGCCCCGGAGCTGCCTGCGGACGCTGACGGCGACGAGCACGGCGAGTAAGCGACACCAGCGGCGGCATCGCTGCACCTACAGTGTTACAGCCCGTGGTCTCTCCACTGCTGGATAGTAATTACAAATTAAATAGTGGGGGCTCCCCACGCCATGATTGTGATTGGGTTTTTACTGCCGTGTCAGTGTTTTGTTTTTATGCACTGTATATATATATTTTACCTCTGGTGTACAGCGCTTTGAAATTGCCAGTTTGAAAGGCGCTTTATTAAACTGAGTCACCGTGGCCTTTTCCGAAAGGACGAACCTGGGGCGGATCCCGGAGGAGAGGGAGTCGGACCCGGAGCTGGGGGTGCTGCCCGATTTTGCTCGGCCGCTGCTGGACCTCGAGGTGGCCGAGGGCGCCACGGCCACGTTCGAGTGCTTCGTGTCCGGCCACCCCAGGCCGGCCGTCGCCTGGTTCCGCCAGGGTCAGCGTGTCGAGCCGTCCAGTGGCGTGCTCATGGAGGACGGTCAGTGTCGTGCTCCTCGCGCGTACGCATGTCCGGCGCGTCGTGTACGCGTCGCGACGTCACGTCCACGTCACAGTGGCGAGTTGTTAACGACCTCGCCTGGTATGCAGGAGGTCGTGGCTTTGATTCCGACCCTGACATCTGCTGCTGTATATTTGTAGTGTGCGTGTTTCTCTCTCCCCATGGTCACGTGTATTTTTCCCCCACTCCTCCAGTTTTAGAGTATTTGGCTGCTATAAATTTCGTTGAGATATTATTTGTGTCCAGGTCACTTCTGAAAAAGAGCTTTAGTGCTCAGTGGGCCTTACGTGGTAAAATAAAAAGAAGTTTCATTTAGTTGTACATGGTGATGAACGGTGCACGTACAGCCCGAGATCCCACCAGAGAGCTGTACAGCAAAAACCGTGAACACTAAAAGTGTTTGTGAGCGCCAATTCGTGCCCTACGCACATCCACAGTACATCCCTTTTCGTGGGTCCACTGCTGGATGAGGGGCCTCCCCATACCAATGTGGGTCGTGAGGGTCATTTGACCATACTTCACCATGCTGGTCAGTGCGGGTTTGGTGAAGGCGGGGAGTGTAGAAGTTGGGGCATAGTACAGTACAACAGTGGGTTTTGCGTGACCACCCATCCGCTGACGACGTGACCCTGCAGCAGCCTACACCACCTGTTTTGCACGTGACGGTCGCCCATCCGAGCGCCATCCAGGCTCGGCCCCGCTTAGCCTCTCTCTGAGACGTGCCGAGATCGGACGTGGGCCGTGTGCTCTGGTCCTGGCCCCTGCGCTCTCGGCATCTTCGCCCGCTCTCTCCGGCCTCTGCGTCCGCAGGCAGGGACGTCTCGCGCCTCATCTTCCGTGCTGCCGAGCCGGCCAGCGGGGGGGTGTACAAGTGCGTCATCTCCAACAGAGTGGGCAAGGCCACCGCCTACGCGCATCTCTACGTCCGCGGTGGGTGGCCCGACGGGCCTTCGAACGCCCGACGTCAACGCTTCAGACGTCGCGATCGTGTCCGGCGCTTTGCCAGCCCCCTGCTGGACTCAGGACTCCTCGTGCCATTGTCGTTGTGAAGTTGTGATTGGCCGTACTCCACCCTGCTGCTCGGTGCCGGTGATGTTAGCCATGGCTGGGGATCAAACTGAAGTGTGCAGCGCAATGCACGAACCATGACAATACCGCCGCTAGTGTAGATTCAGTGTGTGAATTATGCCAAGTAGACAGGGCAAGAGTCTAACTGTTGATACTGAAGGCCATGCCAATTATCATCTGTGTGTGTGGCTCCGAGCGGTGGTGCAGCGGTTAGCGCTACGCTGCGCTACGAGCCCGGCGACCCGAGTTCCACTCCCGCTCACGGCCAACACCGGTGACGACAATTTCAACCGGTCCTGGGCCTCACCTAGGTCGACTCAGCCTCAAATGAGTATCTGGCGCGGTGTTTAAACATCACCACTGGGGAGACAAAGGCGACCGGATGTGGTGCTGGCCACCCACCCCCTCGTGTGCCGTGCCGGCCTTCAAATGTGCTCACTAACAGCACTTGCCCCAACGGTCTATTGAGGCTACACGGGGGATCTTTGTCTTTGTCTCGTGGCTCAGAGCTGAGTGCAGAGCTCCCAGAAGTGGTGCCCCTCGTGGAGAGCGTCACCAGCCGATCGGTGGAGCTCTCCTGGCACGTGCCCAAGAAGATCCACCCGTCGCTAGGTGACAACAACCTGGCGCGATGCTTTAGGGGCCGTCCATAAATGACGTCATGCACCTAGGGGGGGGGTCAGACATTTGTGACGATGTGTGACGAGGGGGGGGGAAGTTTGAAAAATGTGACGTCACATCAAAATGCGCAACTTTAAATAAATATAGAATTGTTATAACAACACTAATTGTTATACCAACACTCCTACAACATCAGAGTGCAGCGCCACATTAAATATGCACTACAATGACAATAGTTTAAAGCGATTTGAAGCATGGTTTATTTTCAAAATGGAAAATGGTTTTGGGGGGGGGGGGGGCAGAGCTTTGTGACGTCATATTTGAGGGGGGGTTTGACTTTTTGTGACGCCGTGTGACGAGGGGGGGGGGGGGGTCAAAAATCATCCTAAATCGCGTGACGTCATTTATGGACGGCCCCTTATCAAGCAATTCACGGAACTAGAGATTTTAAAAGACGTACGGGTTGAGTAACGACTTTAAGTAGTAATGAGCCATAGCAACTAAACCTGTAGCTGTAAATAAAAAAAAATCACAAACCCAACAGTTTCATTCTTAGCACACAATACTCCTGCATCACATCAAAGAGGAGTCGCTTCAGCTCACATTTTGAGGTGCCGCTCGGTGTGTAACCATGCATCATCAATCCTTCCTATGAAATAGTTTATTACGCTCCCGGTACACGCGTCCAATGAGACGTGTGAAAATAAACTATTTACAACTAAATCCAATCGTGTATCAATGTCACGTTCAGGCTCACGTTTATTCCGCACGACTTCAACGGAGAAACAGTAGAACTACACAAACTCCCTTCTGAAGCCCTCTCGTGGCCAGCAGACCTCGACATTGACACTTAGTTCCCGCCCACATTGCTGCCGTACGCAAGAACAGACTATAGAATTCAGGCTCAAAGGGTACAGAGAAAACTCCGTGCAAGCGACAGAATTCACGCAATCTGTACGGGCACGAAGCATCGCGACCGCCCCCCGTTTCCCCTCGCCGACCCGCCGCGTCGTCCTCGCAGAGCCCGCGGCGTTGACCTACACCGTGGAGTGCCAAGCCGAGGGCCGCGGGGACTGGAGCGTCCTGGAGTCGAACGTGGGCGACGCCGGCGTGACGCTGGAGGGCCTGCCGCCCGGGATCGCTCACTCCTTCCGCGTGTCGTGCGTCACCCCAAAGTGCTCGGGGCAGCCGTCGCGGCCCACGGCACCGGTCACGCTGCCGCATCACGGTGGGCGTGGCGCGTCTCTCGTCAGCGCGGTGCCCCCCCTCTTGTGACGCTCGTGAACACGTGATTGAAACGCGTAGCGAGCGAGCTCGTGCAGCTCGGTTGCTCTCCACGTGTTTTTGGACACCGCCGACCGCCGTTGTTTCTCTGTCGTCGATCGCTGTTATTTTAGTTGGGTATCTATAATTGGATAACCTTGTGCTCTATCGCAATTATAATAATAGTGATGCAATTTATAATGTGCACAATTATTCGGGAAATAAATGACCGTAAGCCGCGGGTTCGGAGCATCGGAGTATTGTCATAACCTCGGGTAAGGGGGCTGTGCGGAGATGCTGACGTGTAACCTAGACCCGCCTTGCCTTTTACATACCCCCAACGATGCCCACGGATCTCCACGCATCGCGGATTGGGTTCCACGACTTCATCTCACGCTCCGATCCGAGTTACCGTCGCTATCATTGTCCCTGACTTATAGACGCACGTAGTGCCCTTTGCGAAATCAAAAAGCGAAACGAGTAGGCCGAATGAATATTTTGCAAGCAACCGCAAACAAAATATAGAGAACGCCGAGGCGGGGGAGGACGTTGCAATAACGCGTTGGCTTGCGAATCCGTGTGTCCTCAGCCCCGTTCCTGGAGGAGCCCCCGCGGTTCCTGGAGAAGCCGGAGCCGGTTTACGGCGTCGAGAACGGGCTCGTCAGCATCGGCTACACGCTCAACCACGTGCGCGCCTCCGTCTCGTGGACCAGGTGCGCCGCGCGGCCGCGTTATCACCGCGGGGATTTTTGTGCCGTGACCCCGCCGGCTCGTCGTTCGGGAGTAAAAAGTCTCGGCGAGCGTGGTTTTTTTTTTTCGGGTTGGGCCGCGTGTCGAGCAATTTGATCGCGCGAGTTCTCGCCAAGTGTGCTGCTGCTGTGGGCGACTTCTGGAGTTGAATTGGGTTCGGTTATCAATCCCCACATCACTGAAGCCGACTCCTTCCTCAAATGCCCGCCGGGAAAAGCTTGGGAGAGTAAATGCTTGGCCCACGCTTGGATTGCGAACGATCGTGGAAACGTTGCATTGGCCAAACTTCCCCAATATGGAACTCTCCTGAAACCGAGACCTGACACCTTTGGCAAGGCATGCTGGAATAAAAGTAGATGGCTAAATTATTATTCGACAGAGCAATTGCCAGGAATATTTTGGCTGTTTTTCTAATCGCTTTTTTTGGCAGCTTCACTGACGACGCATTAAATTAGCCAACAGAGGTGATTTTTGCTCACCACGTCTGCCATCTTCCCAAGTACACGTATAGATGTTATACTGATGCTTACAGTCTAAAATGGAAAAAGTCTCTGTATATTTTCAGAGAAGACAAGTGCGTACACTCGTGCATAGGGTTTCGCGGTTGTGCTGCCGTTGTTCGGCGCAATGTCCGACGTTTCACTCTACGTGCCGGGAGCTCCATGAGCTCTGCGAGCTGCCTGGCGCAACAAATCAGAAATTCACTTCCAGAAGCCAAACGTGGACCAAACGTCAGACATCGCGCCGATCAATGTGCGGTACGACAAGACAACGCAACGGAGAGCAGAGAAAGATGTTCCATTTTATTCAAATATTTGTTGTTATTGTAATTACGACTTAAACTTGCAGAGAACCGTTTCTATGCAATGGAGCATACAAGACAGCTGTCATTTGCATGCTCTTCTCACAATCCTGTACTTGGAGCAATAAAACTTTAGTTTTTTTACGTAATTAGATGCCAAGATAAAATATATTCAAAGTTTTTTTTTCTTCTAAGATTGAAATATTCTAGCGACATAATATTACATTCTTAGGAGCAAGAATTGAAAAGTTACACAAATTTTACATGAACCACGTCAGTCTTCTATTCCACTCCCACCTCTTCGGTATCCCTATCTATCTATATATACATCTTGCGAACTACGTCATCCACCCACTCAAGTCCATTCAGTGTTTGTTACACGGAAAACCCCATTTAGCCAGTTACCCAGCTAGTTTCGGTGGCAGCGGCCCACAGCCACCAACAACGACAGAGTCACTGTTGGGGTGGCGGAGAGGAGTCCAGCCAGCAACCAGCCAGGAAACTTGGGCGCCACGGTGGGCGAGATGTTAACTACCTCGCCTGGTGTACAGGAGGTCGTGGGTTCGATCCCAAACCCTGACGCCCGCTGCTGTATATTTGGAGTTTGCGTGTCCTCCCCGTGGTCGTGTGGATTTTTCTCCGGGTTCTCCAGTTTTTTTCTCCACAATTAGAATCAACACGTGTTTAGAGTATATGGCTGCTATAAATTTCCACGCGATAAGCCACTTGGTTGAGCTATCATTTGTGGCCAGGTCGCTTCTGAAAAAGAGCTATGTAGCTGGTCAGTGGGCCTTGCCTGGTAAAATAAATAGTTTAGTTTTAGCTTTACGTGATGAACGGTGCACGTAGAATATTTTTTTCCGATCAGCAGTACGATTGTGATGTTGACGGATTGCGACACCGTCCTCTGGTCGCACGGAACCTTCCGTGGACGCCCGCAGGGACGGTGAGGCGGTGCGGCTGCACGCGGGCGGCTACAGCGTGCGTGTGCAGGAGGAGGACCGCTACCTGCTGCAGATCCCCGCGCTGGGCCGCGCGCACCTGGGCGAGTACGTGTGCGTGGCCAGCAACGACCACGGGGAGGACCGCTGCGCCACGCGCTTGCAGCTCGCAGGTGCCGGCGGGGGGAGACACGCGGGCGGCAGAGTCTCTGCCACACATTCACCTGACTTCTTGCTAGTGGCCGTGGTCGTGGTGGTGGTGATGGACAGGCCTTCCTTTTTTGTTGATGCTGATGGTGGATGTAATGTAATGGCCCACCACGTGCTGACAATCAGAGGCTCCTCCTGCACTCATCGTCGTCATCATCATCGTCTTCTTCATCCTACTTAGGTTAACGATGGCCGTATCTCGTGTATATCCTCCAACCCATTGGTTCCCATCCTGTGGTCCACGGACTTCCCAGGTGCTCCCCAGGGCTGTGGGAAGCGCTACAATTCTTTTCGCACGACACCAAATTATTTTCTTGCACAACTATTTAGATGAATCTATACAAAGCAAGTTACTAATTTGGCTTTGTAATTAGCATACTTCTGTAGTACTGTTAATATTGAAAAATAATTTATAGGCGCAGGGGCGGTCAGTGAAAATCGGTGTGGAGAGTTGCCGCTGGTCCAGCGGGTCGAGAAAGGAAGGTCGCGGGAAGCACTGCTCTGACATGCGTTACTCCCCGTGACCCTCAGATCCACCGAAATTTGAGGACATCATGGAGGACGTGCAAGTGAGGCCAGGCGGCACGTGCAGCTTCACCGTGGTGGTGGACGGGAAGCCAACGCCCGACATCCTCTGGTTTAAGGTACAAACACCGCCCGAGGAAACATTGTTTTGTTCATAGTCATTTAATTATCCAGCCAACATAGTACACGTCGTGTAACATTTACAATACTGTTATGGGTTAAAATACTAAACAAATCAGAAAAAACTTCTATTGATATTATACGTTCAGTAAGGCAGCTTCGCCATCATCACAATCATCATCATCGAGTTAATCCACTACTGGATGAAGAAGGCCTCCGCTAGCGGCCGCTGCCTCTCGCGCTCCTGCGATGAGCGATTCCAACACGGCTTGCAAAACATAAGGCTTGGAAAGAGAACTTAATATTTCAAGTGAGATTCTTTTTTTTATTACTTTTTCGTCATTCCATTCCGTGACTCTATATCTGCATTGCAGCTTTAAAATCAGATAAACACATTCTTGTAAAATAAAATAAAAAAAGGAAATGATATATCCCATTTCAAATAATTCTCGAGGTGGCCAGGTGGCTCAGTGGTCAAAGTACAAAGCAGCAGTGTAGAGTTGATACTTTCAGCCCAGTATTGCAGTGGATATATTTCGATCTACACCTAATTTGACACGTTGCAGCCCTGGAAGTTAAATATATCGCCATAACTTGCCGTGCAATTAACGGTACTGTCAGAGGTCGTTCTACGGTATCCGCTTCCACGGGCCATCCTCTGACACGAGGGCTCGCTGTCGTGACACGACTCCGACAGTACCAATAACGTTGGGGGTGGGAAAAAACAAAAGTGATCTTCATTTGCCGACCGTCACCGCTCTGCCCAGGACGACGCGCTGCTGGCGGAGAGCGGCCGCGTCTCGTTTGCGTACGACGCGGCCGCGTGCTCGCTGGTGCTGCGCGACGTGACGGAGAGCGACCGCGGCGTGTACGCGTGCGTCGCCAGGAACGTGGCCGGGGAGCAGACCTACAAGGCCGAGCTCTCCATCCCCAAGGGTGCGACGATTTCCCCCCCGCGGCACCATACGCCGCGCTCCTTTTAGCGCATTCCCAAAAAGCTAATTGCAGAGAAAATGTGTTTAAAACACACACACCCACAGAAATGTGTACAATTCTGCGTGCTTTTGCGTGCTTTTTGAAACTCGTGGTTTTCTGGCCTACACTATTGTTCTGCTACGGTGGGGGTTCTCGTCAGTTAAAGGTTCCATTGGGAAAATGAGTGTGTGGGAAATGACCATCGTGCTGATCTCTCAAATGTTCCTGATCCTCTGTTGCGATGTCGGTAGCCAAGGGCGAGATGGTGGCGGACGAGCAGGAGCTCATGAGGAAGATCAGAAATCTTACGGATTACTACGTCGTCAGGGAGGAGATCGGCAGGTCAACTCCTTTCGTCTTTACACACGCATTATTATTCTCGTTTTTGTTTTTAATTTAAACGTTCACCAAAGCATACATCTGATCGAAGTCGGTAAATTTTTTGTGGCAAAAAAAAAGGTTGTGAACCCACGCAATTCCACCACCGCCATCTCAACCGCAACCACCCTAACCACCACCATCGCCTCCACCGCCACCTCCACCTCCTCCTCGACCCGGCAGGGGCTCATTTGCGGTGGTGAAGCTCGTGGTGGAGAGGGGCACGGGGAATCCCTACGCCGCCAAGTTCCTGTCGTGCCACGACAGGAAGCAGGTGGACGCGGAGCGCGAGCTGCGTGTGCTCTCCCTGCTCGACCACGATCGCGTCACGCGACTCCACGACGCCTTCCAGACCGACCGCAAGCTCATCCTCATCACCGAGCTGTATCCACGCTTCCGCTTGGGTCCAGCGGTGAACACGAAAGCATCGATGGATCGTAAAGATTTGGGAGAGTCAGTGGGTGACAAGATATGTGGCATTTTCGTCTTAATATTTTGCCCATAATATGTCAAAAAATATCGAAAGTGATTTTTTCTAAATATGTCCAAAAATATAAAGTGTAATTTTTCCTGCTAAAATCAGCATTGAGGCATCGGTGCTCATCTCCCGTTTACACCTCTGAGCCAGTGGACGAGATTCCACGTTCCCATGGCGTGAGCGAGTCTATTGATAGGACAACCACCGTTGATCCAACCAGCGACTGGGACTGGAACTCGCGGCCGCCCGTTTGCAAGCCGCTCGCCCTCGCCGACGAACCACCTGGCCGGCCTTGATACGAGCGTCCTAATTGGGTTGAACAGATGAGTAAACGACTCGGTTGCTTGGCCTGCGACCCTCGCGTTTCCACGCTTACTCCGCCGCATAGTGGCGGTGGCAGTGGCGGTGGTGGCGGCGGCAGCGGCGGGTAGCCGTGAGCCCAAGCACGTGTGCAACGATGCGGCTCGTACCTCGGTTGATGTTTTACCCTTGACGACCGCGATTGAGCTGCTCCAACGAAGAGCTGCTGGATCATCTCGTGAAGAAGACGGCGTTCACCGAGCTGGAGGTACAGCACCATCAGCCACGAGGCCTCCACCCTCTCAAACTCCCTCTCTCTCTGCTTTAATGTCTCTCTGCAGCCCCATGCCTTCTCGCCTCCTTCATTGCTTCTTTTTTCTCCTTGTCTTGCTAACTGCCTCCCCATTCCCTCCCATTTCCTCCGTATCTCTACGCTCGGAGACATTTGTTACGCGATGGGCGCATTACACATGCGAGTTGTTGTTGTTGGCTAATCACTGTTCTCCAGTGCAGTTCATGTGGGGTCGATGGGAGCGAGTCGTGGCTGCTCCGTGCTCTCATTCCGCACCGTACGTAGCCAACCGCACCTCCGGTTCGCACGGTTGGCTACATACGGTGCGAAAGAAGTTCGATGTACATGCAACACACTTTCCCAAGAGATTTACTCGGAGCTTGTGCTCGCTTTGACAGGTTCAGCCGTACATTTGGCAGCTGCTGGAAGGCCTTGACTACCTCCATCGGTCCCGCGTCCTCCACCTCGACATCAAGGTGAGCGCAGCTCTCGTGCGGTCACCGCCCGGTGAGGGTGGAGGTCGGTGGAAGGCGCTGTGTGCTGGACGCGAGGGGGTCCTTGGCCACCCTCTTGCGACCGGGCGGCCTCACCGGCTGTCACCCTCCACAGGCCTCGCAGTGCCGCGTCGCCTCTCGTAACTTGCCGCAATCGCCGCCACGATCTTTGCCGTCGCATCACCACGACCGCCTCAATGCGCCGCCGTCGTTGTCGCTGCTGTTGTTGGACTCGATTTATACCCTTTCACCTGTGTGCCCCCCGCGCCGTAACCAACCTGCGCCGATCGGCGTGGCGACCATTTCGTCTAAAAGCTCCAAACGCCACAGTGCTGGGAGGCCTCCCATCCATCACAGAGGGGCCACACATGCGGGCCGCGCCTCACGACGACTTGACGGCGCGCGTTTTGTTCCCCTCTCTCGTCGACAGCCGGCGAACGTGCTCATGGTTCACTCGGACGGCGACGACATCAAGATCTGCGACTTTGGCTTCGCGCAGGAGCTGAGGGAGGGCGAGGCCCAGCGCTGCCTGTACGGAACGCCCGAGTTCGTCGCGCCCGAGGTGGCACGCCAGCAGCCCGTGTCACCGGCGACCGACATCTGGTGGGCGCCGCCGACGTTAACCCACGAGTCGTCGTCGTGGCGAAAAAAGTGTCGGGCGAACTAAAATAATAGCGTGTATTTATTTACTTGTTTACAACGTTTGCATAATCGTGAGAAGGGATTTAGTTTAAGTTCATTTATTAATCAAGTTCATTTATTAGGTATAGCCCTGTGAGCCATGCAACCGCAACAAACAAAATATGAACACAGAACATCTTAAAGTGACGATGTGTAACAGAAACATCCTGGAATAAACCAGCAAATATTTAAAAAACGTATTAAAACGCTGTGGGCAAAAATCCCAATGTGGTGCAAGTCAACAATAACAACCATAAGATAATTTAGATTAATCATATGTTTTCGAATCACCAACATAAAGCTATAAAAACAATGTAACAACAGTTATGGCGGCAGTGTGGTTTTCACCCAGCAGTAGATTGATCATGGCTGATGATGATCTACACATTCAATTGCCGTGATGAACATTTCCAGTGGAGTGATGCGTGTATTTTAAATTAAGTTGAGTTGATTGCTAGGGTTTTGAAACGGTACAGGGATTGGTCTGCCTGTTCTTGTAAGTGGCAGAATCATGTTTTTCTATTGGGTTGTTTCGCAAAGCTTCTGAACATAACCGACTGTACACGTGTATGTTTTGCAGGCCTGTTGGAGTGATAACCTATGTCTGGTAAGTGGCCCTCGTGCAGTCACTTCGCGTCGAGTGAACTTGGTGTGAGTTATTCGCTTTCGGGTCGCTAGGCGCCAGGTTGCTGAAGGCGACTCGCACCGCCTACCGCACACTCACCACGGTCTCCCCCCCTAGCGACACGATGATCGATGGTCACGATTTCGGATCACAATTCATTTTAAGAATCAATTCCTTTTCTTCTCATTTTTACCATTTGTTGTGTTCTCTACCTCATTTGCACGAGCGCTTCTGCGTAACACCAGATCGTTTGCATGATACATAACTGATCCATTCTCCGACGCGCATAACCCTGCACGCGAAAATTAGTTTCGATCCCTGATGCGGTGTCTCGGTTACCGGAGCCCATCGTCGGCCTTCACCTTTGACGCATCCGTCTCGTGCGTTGTGACCGCCGCGTGCAGCCTGACGGGCGCCTCGCCGTTCGTGGGCGACAGCGACCGGGCGACGCTGCTGAACGTGCGGGACGGGCGCATCAGCACGGAGCGGCCGCTCGAGGGGCTCTCCCCGCTCGCCGCCGACTTCGTCGCGCGCCTCATGACCATCAACCCCAGGTCTGGACGGGTTGTTGTTGTTGTTGTTTATCGAGGGGTTGTTGTTGTTTCTGGAGGGGTTGTTGTTGTTTCTGGAGGGGTTGTTGTTGTTGTTTCTCGAGGGGTTGTAATTGTTGTTTCTCGGGGGGTTATTGTTGTTGTTGTTGTTGTTTCTGGAGGGGTTCTCGTTGTTGTTGCTTCTGGAGGGCTTGTTTCCTCACGCTTGCCGAGCACGGGGCCCAAAGTCCCAGAATTCCAAACGGCATCGTCAAGGGTTTCAATGGGGCCCAGCGGCAGCGCGTTCACTGGCTTAGTCCACGGTTCAAATCCCGCGGCCGCCCTGGTTATTTCATGCGGTTTGCACTCGCCGTAATACGACGCGCCACCCGCTTGACAGTCTGTGATGACATTCTCAAGGGTCGGCCGTTGTGTGCTGGCGACGTGGTCCAAATTTTAAAAATGACCCGCACGTCACACGACACTCGGTGAGGCTTTCCTGCAGGGTAAAGCACGAAGAATGTTCCATAACAGTCACTCCAGACACTTGTTTCTGTGTTACGTTTATCGTCGGACTGGTGGGAGATTTAATTATAACAAGATGTTGTCTTCTTGCGCAGTGACAGGCCATCCGCTTCCGATTGCCAAAAACATCCGTGGTTCAAGGTGCGTGTTGTTTAAAGACCCGTGATACAGCCATTTTCTTTTACGTCCCACATGACCGAAGCTTCAATCAATTAACAATTGTAACTTTTATTTACACTTTCTATACAAATGCCACGAGTCCTTCATCACAAAAAGATTGAAAACTAATTTATTTAGAACAGCTTTTTGTGTTTAGTTGTTGTCCTTCCAGCATTTCCTATTAGCACAGTTGGCTACGTAGGGTGCGAAAAAAGTTGAACACACATAGATACAAAGAGGCCGCTGTAATATCAGCAGCTATGGCTAGACGCGTTACATCGTTGTACATGGCCCGAACCGTTGCCGATAGCCAAACTGTTCTCTGCTCTTGAGTGACTGTCGTCGTTAATCTGCGCAGGCTGCCGTCTCGCCCCAGACCGGACTGGTGAACATTGGCACGGACAGGCTCAAGTACTTCCTCAACCGCAGGAAGTGGCAGGCAAGTGGCAGTGGGTGGTGAAAGGCAGCAGGCTTTACCCTCTGCTCGTACGTCTGGCACGGGGTGCAGAGTTGGAGCGGGTCGTGACCTTTCCCGGCTCGGTTTTTTTTTGCCTGCTCCAGTAAGTGCCACCGCTGTCTGAACCTGGTGATTTGTGCCCTGGTAAAAAAAAATCAGGTTTCGAAGTGAATATTAAAGCATTGTAGAATAAGAATAATAGTCACGTGATTGAATTCATTACGCGTATGTTGGTGCAGAGGGTTGGAGGTGTGTTGCAATGGTTTAAAGCACAACAATTCGGCCCTGGCCGAATTGCTGTGGTCAAGTTACATGGGAACCCATCTTGGCCTGACACAGTGCGGACAGGCCTGCATCCAGCAGTGGATTGACAGTGTCAAACATTATTATTATGATATGAACTGAAAACGCTATTTATTTACTTGTTTACACTTGTTGACCCGTGAAAGACTCAATTTTTCCAGGAGGAGGCGATGATTGCTTTGTAGATTCCAATTGAGTAATTTACGAATCAATTTTCAAACTTAGGCACGTTTGGACCCTGACACCGGCACACAGTGGCCTACTCTCTGGAATGATGTCACGGTATCTTTGACGTCCACTGTGAAGCAGACAGCGCGTAGTGTGTTTACGGTTCATGCCACACCGTAGTATTAACCAGGCTGGTCACTGGATTAGAACCATGGACCCTTGCAACAAGTGGCGAACGCGCTCCCGCTGGGAGATGTTATCCCCCTCGCCTAATATACAAAAGGTTGTGGGTTCGACCCCGACCCTGACACTTGCTCTATATTTGAAGTTTGCGTGCGTCTCTCCCCGTGCTCGTGTGGATTTTTCTCTAGGTCCTCTGGTTTTCCCCTCCATATTTAGAAATGTATTTGGTTGCGAAAGCATGCCCACTTGAAAAGCCACTTTGTTGAGTTATCATTTGTGGCCAGGTCGCCATATAGCTCAGTGGGCCTTACCTGGTACAATAAAAAAAATAGTTTAGTTTTAGTTTAAACACTTCCCTTGTCAATCCTTTGCTAGATCAAGGCCTCCATGCAGGATTTCAGTCATGAGGGTTGTTTGACCATACTTCACCAGGCTGGTTATTACAAATATGATTTAATTCTGACAACAAGCAACGAGCAACGAGTCTGGTTTTGGGAAGCCATCTTGTCCTCCCTGCGTTTCGCCGCTTCACCCGTTTCGTGCATAAAATGGCGCGAATGGCTCATAGATTGTGAGCCTAATTAATAAGATGATTAATAGATTGTGAGCCTAATTAATTAATAATTAATAATCGTTTCTGTTGTACATACCGTGGTCCTGCACACCTGCTACTCTACCTTTTTCCTCTTTCTCCCCAGTGTTGTAATAACATCCGTTGCAAACCCCAGCGTTGCATTCGAACTTTACCATGCGTCGCAGCAACCATGGCCGGTGGCGTGTTCCGTTGGAGATGGGGGCCCAGCCGTGCCGCTAAACCTCCCTCCTTTCTTCTCCCCCAGAGTGCCCTCATCGCCCACCGAGCCAACCTGGTCATGCGCTCCATCCCCCAGCTGCTGGCCGCCACCGTGGGGCAGCAGTCCCTGGGGGTGCCTCGGCACCTCGCCGACCCCTCGCTCATCTCTTCCACCTCCGACGACTCGGATGAGGCCAACGTTTTTTCCGCCATGTCCGGTTTTGGGGGGGGCTTGAGAAGACCAGAAGCCCCGCTTGCTCCCTCCATGTCAAAGCACGCCGGCGCGCCAGTGGCCGCGTACGCCGCCACGCAGGAGGTGTGATGAATGCTCGGTCATAGCGCTGCACTGATTTAATAATCGCCGCGTAAAGGTAACGGTTAAAAAATTGTAACAAGCCTGACTGGTGATGAGACCCAGAAAGGTCGAAACCATTCCATAGGTCGCTTGCATAAATGAATGCTGCTAGAAAATATTGGTCTGGAAAACTAATAGGCTGATGAACTAAAGTATTTGAATTTATATGTGGAGACACTGAAGGAGTTCTGCTCAAACTTGCTATTGTGTAACGATGTGTTCGTCATGTGCCAATGTGCTCTCCTTTGCTTTCTGCTTTCTATTCGGCTCTCGGGACAAGCGTCAGCAATCGTGGAGAGGAGCTGCTGTGGAGCAGCCGCAAAAGGCAAGAGAGGAGGGCGACAGGACGATGGAGGTTGAGCCGAAGGCTTCACCAAAGGCCTCTCCGAAGGCCTCTCCCGGGTCTGGGAGGGCGCGGCGCCGCAGCAGACGGCGCTCCACGGAGGCCGAGCCGCCGGTGTCCTCATCGTCTGATGAAGACGCTCTGGACGTCTCCCGGCGAACGGAGTCTCCTAGGCAGCGGCGAAGAAACAACCTTCAGAGATCGGGCTCGATGGACAGCGAGCTCGGCACTTTGGCTGGCCACGGGGCACAGGGAATCAAGAAGTCCATGTCAATGGAGCTGAGCCGAGGAAGAAGTCGGAGCCCAGGCCAAACGGGAGGAATCCACGACGACCCGGCGCGCAGGAAACCGGGAGCGATGACCCCTGTCGCAGCCGCCGAAGATTTCTCCCAGCGGCTCGAAGTGATCCGTCAGAGGCTGCTGGGTGGCGACCCGATCGAAAGCAAGCTCATTGAGTTGCGTGACCCCCGACAGGTGCACCCCGATGCCATTTCAAGACCTTGGAGTGACAAAATCCGGACCTCGTCCCTGCCACCGAGGCCAGACAGGACCAGCGAGTTGGCCCAGAGAAAGCAGGCACCTGAACCAATGGAGATGGCTGAAATGGGCAAAATGCAAAGGAACGTTCCATTTGCCAAATTGGCGGAGGCCCCGCCAGCGCCGACCTTTGGTGTTTTACATCCATCCACCAGGAGTGCGGCAGAATCGTCTCAAGCGCACGCTCCGATATCATCACAAATCCGCAAATCGCCCACACTGCCTTTAAAAGCGCAGGTCCCCATCATCGGTCAGCTTAAACAGATCCCTCCGCACATCGCATCGGCGAAGGCTCAGAGATTCCCGGTGGTACCTGTGCAGCAGCAAGGTCCTTTCTCTGCCCAAGGTGGAATGCAAAGGCATTCGTCCACTGAAGGAATGAGGTCGTTGCCATTGGGAACCGAACCTCCGCGCTTTGCTCGATTCTCAACTAGAAACAGAACCCCCTCGGCGCCGACACTCAGGGGTGAGAGGGCCGCGCTGGGGCAATATTCAGTCTCCGGCGATAAGATAAACGAGATCAAAAACATCGCTTCCGAAGCCATATTTGAGGCCAAGTTTAAAAAGAAGCACGAGTCGTCCATACACCGAGTGTTCCCGTTTCTAAACAAGGCAAGGTCCGAAGAGCAGGTGCTGAGGCCGGCATGGGCCGACGAGGAGGAGGTGTACAGGCCAAGGCAAGTCAACGCTCCTGTACTCATTGCCGTCGATCCTCACGGGGCGGTAAAGAAAAAGGTGAAGGATGAGCTGGAGACCATGGCAGAAAAGTCAGAATCTGAATCAACGGAACCCCTTCAAAAGCAGGACAGGGACAAGGGCATCATTCGCAGACTGTCGCAGAAGCTCAAACGACCGTCCTCCTCGGAGAAAATGTCTCAACTTGCAGACGAAGGTGAGAAAGAACAGGGCGATGGAAAGGACGATGGGGATGAAAAACAGAGGGTGGGAGGTGTTTCAAAAATGTTTTCGATTGCGCGGTGGCAGAGCAGCTCCAAAGAAAACGTAACGGGGGACCCTGCCGCCAACCTGAGGGCCGATTTCGATGCCCTAAAGAAGAAATCTGCACAAGAGCTTCCAGGAGCAAAGATGCCCACAGAAGTTGTCCGGGAACAGTTTGCCCCCGAAAAGCCCAAGCGATCGTTTGCAACGGCAATGACATTTTCCGAAATTGACACGAGGGCAGGACTTGGGCCATCGGCCGTCCACACGGTAAAGCAAAGCCACCCCGCTTCTGGAAATGTTCCGCAAAACGTTGACATTGAGATGAAGCCCAAGCAGGTGGAGCAGATACCCGATCTTCCTCTACATTTTAAACAGAAGCATTCCGAACAAAAGCAGCCGTGGCTCGGTGAGCGCTCAGAAATAGAGGACAAGTCAGGTAGCCCTTCCAAAATGTTTTCTGTGACATTGGTGCCCGAGGGCCTACGTGAGAAGCCCAGTCACACAGTTGGCATTGCGGGCGGTGCCATTTCAGAGAAGAAATTAGATTCTCAAGCGCATCCAGAAGTGTCTGCCAGTGAACAAACTTCCATTGCACAAATCCCATCAAACAAAACGGAGAAATCCAGTAAGGATGCAGAAATGGTGAGAGAGCTGGGAGCGGAAGGTAACTTAAAGGAAGAAAATAAATCAAGCGGTATAGCCAAGAAACTCTCTGATGCTTTGAAGAAGACCGGGCTCTCAGAGCTCGGCCGAGGGAAAGGGAAAAAAGACATGTCAGAAGAGCAGTTGCAGCAGATTTCGGAGAAAGATTCCAAACAGAAGCACGCTGCTCCAAAAAAAACTGGCAAGGAGCCCGACAGCTCAGAAGTTTCTCGGGAGAGGTCAACAAAAATGTCTGCCGAGGCCCTGCAGGAGCAACAGCCGCCTGAAGTAAAGGGATTCGTTTCTGCGGAGAAGATGACCGCTGATAAAGGCACGAAGGACGATGGAGATAAACATAAGTCCGGCGGTATTCTCAAGCGGCTTTCCATTGCATTGAAGCCGGATAGCCTCAGAGACGACGGTCACGGAAGAGGAAAGGAAGTGAAGCCGCACGATGAGCTGGTCTTCAAGGAGACCAAGCAGAGTCAGCCTTCTGCTGCAAAATTACCGGGAGATGCGAAGAAACATGCACGCGACGATGGGAGAGCTTCTGAGGGAAAGCCAGCACGAGAGGCCTCGCTGGGATCTGAGTCGGAGGATCACGGCAAGGAAAAGAAGTCTGGTGGCATCATGAAAAGACTCTCTGTCAAACTGAAGAAAGACACTGCCAAGGAAGTCGCTGGAGGCCCAGCAAAGGAGTCGGCCCAGTCTCTAGAGTTAAAGCCCAGCCACCCTCTAGGCCACGGGCACGCTCACTCAACCCCAACCTACGTTCAGGAACAGCAACCAAGCAGATTTGAGTACAGATTAGTAGCAGAGGCCATAGAAGATGCTCTGGAGCAGAAGGAGGCCCAGAAAGCACAAGAATCGGCATCTGCTGACCAGGCGTTAGCGGAAGACGGTAGGAAGAGTGAGGAAAAGGATAAGAAGGCCCCGGGTGGCCTAGCCAAACTATTCTCCGTCAAACTGAAGTCCGACAGTCACAAGGAGGATGGCCATGAAAGTGAAAAAGAGAGGAAGCCACATTTTGAACCTTCAGCTCGCGAAGCCGCCGCAAAAATATCACCAGATACAAAAGAATATTTGCACAGCCATAAGAGTACTCCTCAAGGAAAAGGGCATTCTGAGCCTTCAGCAGGATTAGAGTCAGAAAGCCATGGCAAGGAAAAGAAGGAACCTGGCAGCATCCTAAAGAGATTCACGGTCAGCCTTAAGAAAGATGCTCCCAACGAAGGGGTCCAAGAAAAACAATGTGAAGAGAAAATAGAAACCCCTTCTCAAGAGTTAACACCGAGCCGACCCTCAGCGCAGCCTCATCCGAAAACCACCAAGTCGCATGACGCGCCTAAAGGCTCAGGAAAATCTGAGCAAAAAAACAAACATGAGCCGTCAGAGGAACCAGGGTCCACGGAATCTCCTCAAGAACATAAACTGCTTCTCAAAGGAAAACAGTTGACTGCTGCTGAAAGAACACTTGCGGAAGATAGTAAGAGGAGAGAAGACATTGATAAGATGCCCAGCAGTTTAGCCAGACTCTTTTCTGTCACGCTGAAGCCAGATGGTCCTGAAGAGGACCATCACGGGCGAAGAAGGGAAGAAAAGCCGCAGGATGAACCGATCTGTCACAGGCCAGCTCATGAGACTGACACCAAAATGGCAGCAGATTCGAAGGGGCACGTGCACAGTGATACGAGCGCTTCGGAACAAAGCCCATTGCACGAGCCCTCGCTGGGCTCAGAGTCTATGGGGTCGGAAGAACAGAAATCAAGCGGCAGCGGTGGCGGCATCATAAAAAAATTCTCTGTCATGCTGAAGAAAGACAGTCCCAAAGACCTGGCCCAGCATCACTCAAGGGAGGTGAAACCAGATGCTGAAACTGACCAACCCCCGGGGTTAAAGCCGAGCCACCCTCCAGGCCACGGGCACGCTCACTCAACCCCAACCTATGTTCAGGAACAGCAGCCAAGCAGATTTGAGTACAGATTAGTAGCAGAGGTCATAGAAGATGCTCTGGAGCAGAAGGAGGCTCAGAAGGCACAAGAATCGGCATCTGCTGACCAGGCGCTTGTGGAAGATGGCAGGAGTGAGGAAAAGGAAAAGAAGGCTCCGGGTGGCCTAGCAAAGCTATTCTCCGTCAAACTAAAATCTGACAGTCACAAGGAGGATGGCCATGAAAGAGAAAAGGAGGGGAAGCCAGAGAAACCGGTGCCTCCATCAAAGTCAGAACATGAAAAACATCCAGCTCATGCTGCTTGTGCTGCCACGATCGTGGCATTGGACGCAAAACAAAGTGCACCCGAGACCACAGACGCCAGTGATGGAAAACCAGCAGCCGATTCCTCGGTGGGATCTGAGCTCACAGATTGTGAGGACCATGGCAAGGAGAAGATATCCACCAGCATCATCAAAATGTTTTCTGTCACTCTGAAAAAGGACAGTCCCAAAGAGGAAGACCAAGCGGACAGCGCCGTGGAACTTAGGCAAGAAGAGGCTAAATCGACGACCCCTTCAATTACTGGAGAAAACGAGGCTCAAGAGACCCGTGATGAAAAATGTAAACTAATGTTCCCATCAGGATCGAGGGGTGTAGGAGGAGCCGTGGAAACACAGCAGCTGCCTCACAAAGAAAAGAAACTGGATGTTGCAGAAGTGATGTTGGCGGAAGAAGGAAAGATAGTTGAAGTTATAGATGAAAAGAAGCCAAGCAGCATAGTCCAAATGATTGCTGTGAAATTAAAGTTGGACCGTCCACAGCAGGACATCCACGAACAAGTAGCGGGAGAGAAGCCACGCGATGAATCGGACAATCAGCAGGCGATGAAATCGAGGCAACCTGCTCATGGAGTATCCGCAGAAACCCCATTGGTAACTAAAGCAATCATCGTGAAGGATTCAGATAAAGTCGATGATAACGCAATGCGGGAACCGTCGCTGGCATCCGACTCCCCTGGCAATGAGGGGCAGTGCACGGAGAAAAATAAATCCAGCGGCATCATGAAAAAAATTTCTCTCTCGGTGAACAAGGAGAGCCCTAAAGAGATCAGCGGAGAGAAGGAGACGGAAAGTAAACCGCACGAGGAATCTGTCACCACTCACAATGTAACGCAAGGCCCGAGACGATCGGAAATATTGGGAACGCCTCAAGAAAAATTGAAAATCGAGCTCCAGGCCTCAGGTGGGACGAGCGAGCATCAGATTCCTCACACAGAAGGAAAGATAGAGGAAGCCAAAGAAAAGAAGAAGCCAATTAGCCTGACCAAGCGCCTCTCAGCTGTTTTGAAACCGGTCAGTCACGTAGAGGACAGCCACGGGAAAGGAATGGACGAGGAGCCACGGGGCGAGCCCGTATCTCAGGAGCCCGTGAAAGGCGGTCAACCTTCGCCTCATGTCGCTGCCACAAAAATTCCAGTGGATCTAAGCGAACTTGTGGCGGGAGACGCGTTTGCACGTGAGCCTGTGCCGAACGTGGATTGGCAAGAGTCGAAGGGTCATAATAAGGAGAAAAAGCACAGCAGAATCATCGACCGGATCTCTGGAAAATTTAAGAAGGACAACCTGAAAGAGAAGCTAACGCATGGAGAAGAAGAGAGGGCCAGTGAAAGTGATATGGAACACGCTATAATTGGAGAGTCAAAGCAAAGCCATCCAGTTGAACACATCAGTAAGCTGGAGAAGGGAATGCTCGAACCGATCGAAACATTTCAATCGGCAACCGCTGTCCTGGATCACGATGTTGGGAAAAACAAGCCATTGACCATCGTTGAGAGATTTTCGATCTCGTCGAAAGTCGGTTCAAGAGAGAGAGCCGGTCAGGAACAACAAAGTGATGAAAAAGCTAAATTAGAAACTTCCCTTTCTCAGGAGTTAAAGACCCATTCGTCTTGCGAGGCCACGGTGGACATTCCAGATGCTTTTTGGAAAACCCGAGAAGAGGATATGAAGACCTCTGAGAATGCATCAAGCGCGGAGCCGTCACTCTCCTCAGACTCTCAGAGTCATGGCAAGGAAACCAAGAAATCCAGCAGCATCGTCAAGAGACTGTCTGACGCCCTAAAGAAGGACCACTCAAAGGGGGTCAGTTCTGAAACAGCGAGAGGAGACAAAGAGGATGACAGTGATCTTTCCGAGCGAGAGGTCCACCCACAAATCTCAGACGTGAGAGATAAAGCACGGGAAATACCAACAGCTGAGCAAGCAGAAACCTCAGAGTCCGAGGGTCCTGTCAAGGAGAAAAAGAAGTCAAGCAACCTCATCAGACGGCTGTCTTCCAGGTTAAAAAAGGACAAGCGAGCACACGAAAACAGTGCATTGTCCGATGATGATCACAAAGATGAGAAAACGTTATCGTCGAAGCAAGCCCCGGCTGGACCAGAAAACCACGAGGCAGTGCAGCTGCAGCCTTCGGTGGGAAATGTCGACGGGGACCACTCGTTGCTGTCAAGACGACTCCTTACGGGAGATTCGGGGCCATCTGAAAAAACGTCACCGCAGGTGTCGGCATCTTCAGAGGGTGCACAAACACAGGATTTGCCTCAGAAAGGTGGACGGTCGGATGCTGTTGACAAGATAAGCGCTGCAGGGGTCGGGAAGAGTGAAGAAAAGGAGAAAATGAAGCCAGACAGTCTAACCAAGAGACTTTCGATTGCGCTGAAAAGAGACAGTCCCAGAGATGTGAGTGTTGAGAAAGAAAGAGGAGAGAAGGGCGGTGCTGAGCAGGGTCAAGTTCAAAGGTCAACCTCAAATGAATTGTCATCCCAGGAGTTGACCCCACAAATCACAGGGGACGTCGAGGAAACACTGAAAGGTGTGGTCATGTCAGAAGGTCAATCGTCCAATGAGCAGCCTTCAGTTGTTTCGGAGTCGGAGAGTCCTGGCAAGGAGAAAAAGAAATCGGGCAACATCGTAAAGAGATTCTCGGCCAAATTTAAGAGAGACGGCGCCAAAGACAAGGCCAGTTTCGCAAAAGAACAAGATGAAAGGTTGGATGAAACTGACCTTTCAGAAATGGGTGGAGATAAAGTATTGGAAGAAAACAAGCCGTTCCTCGAGAATGTAACTGAAAAAACCATAACATCCCAAGAAAGACTTGAACAGGACATTTCCATAGCCTTTGTATCCTCCGAGCCGATACAGGAGCAGCGTCTGCCTCTCATCGAGAAAGGATTTGCATCCGCCGAAAAGGACTTGGCTGAACGTCTGCAGCAAGGAATCGAGTCTGGCGGTGTTGTTGAGAGCCCTGTTGTGTCCACGGAGGATGGGTCTGAACTGGCCAGTCAGGCACAAGGAAAGGAAAGCGCAGGAAGTGAAGTGGAGAGTAAAAGGCAGGCCCTGTTCCAGGAGATCGAACCACGGGCGCCCTCACCCACTTTCGTTGCTGCAGAGTCGTCTTCCACAGTTATACAGCGGCAAGAAGGGAAAGCTCATGAACGCGATCATGATAAAGCCGTCTCGCCGCCGGGGTTGAGAGCAGAACAACTGTCGACACACGAACCTGCCGTGGCAGATCTGAAAGATGACGTTAAAATGAGCGCCGAATCAAGTGCTAAAATATCCACTCCTGAGCCAGCGCAGGAATCGCAATCCACAGACACAGAGGGATACATGAAAGAGGAACATAAACCAACCAGCCTTGTTAAAAGACTCTCTCAGGTAATTAAGAAAGACAAAGATGTAAATCTAGAGATAGAAGGGAAAATTAGTGATACAGGAGAATCTCCGAAAGTCTCTCTTAATAAGGAAAAATCCAGAGGGACTTCTCTGTCAAACATCGCCACAAATCTGCCTGCAGCTCAGAAAGGCAGTATGGGTGACCTTGAAAGAAAATCATCACAAGGCACCTCAGCAGCAGCAGATGCTGGGCCGGCTCACGACAAGAAAACTCAAAGCCAGAGTGTCGATCAGAAACTGCCGAGGTCAGTGTCTGTGGATCAGATAGCGGAAGGGAATAAGGCGGAGGACAAGGAGAAAAGGAAATCGAGTCTAATGAAGCGACTGTCGTTCCACATGCGTGCGGGCACTTCAAAGGAGAAATTACTGTCATCCGACACGAAGAAACAAAAGTCTATCGAAGGCGTCGATGCTACACCTGATGAAAAATCTTCGCGAAAATCCTCAATGACATCACTCTCATCGCTCACCAAGGGCCACGACAAGGATTCAAGTTTAGTTCGAAAATTATCCCTCAAGCTTAAGCGGCCACTCTCGGTGGAAAAGCTGGCCAGTGCCGACAAGGAGGGTGACGACAAGAGGAAGTCCGGCGGTCTGGGCCATAAGATTTCCCTTGCGCTAAAGAAGGGCAGTTCAAAAGAAAAATTAAGCCATGAGAAAGACGAGACCATGAAACACGATCATTCCTCCCCAGGAAAATCTCTTCGAAAGAAAATCGGGGCAACCATGTCTGGCTTTTCGATGAAGCTTGCTCGCAGCCGCTCGGAAGAGAAGCTTGCGAAACAGACGGACGTCGATGCCAGCGCCAAGCTCCTCACCTTACCCTCGGAAGCGGCGGGAAAACGGGCAGATGCCGCGGAAAAGGAGCAAACTAGCCAGGGCGTGATCAAGCGCTCAAACTCTGAATTTTACCTGCCACAAACACCAAAAGATGCCAGAGATGCAGCCTCAATGCCGCCAGATGAGCATAGAATATCTTCTTCAGAGAATAAGGAACAACTCTCAGAAGGTAGAGTGCCACAACACGGTGGTTTTACTTGTGGGTTGTTCTCATGCGAGTGATACTTCACGACAATGATCGGCTCGTCTTCTTGTTTTCTTCCTGCGTAACAGTTTCTCCGCCGTCGTTTCAAACGAAGCTGATAGACGAGCTCATTGTGGACGGACAGCCCATGACCCTGTACTGCCGTCCCGTCGGGAACCCTTCGCCTGACGTCAAATGGTTTAAAGGTACACCGAGAACCGGCACGATTGACAACCCCAAGTGGTAGAAACGTATAAAATCGTACTCTTAGGTTTTTTCGGTAATCGCTCGGCAACAGGTCGCGCGAGCGACGCATTCGCTCTGGTGTCACGGTTCAAAAACTGGGGAGCGGCGTCACAGTGGTGAGCGCACTGCGCTATGAACCCGGCCACCGGAGTTCGATTACCAGCCACGGCCAAACATCAGTGGCACGTAATATCTGAGCCGGTCCGGCGCTGTTCCTTCACCAACACGCACTGACGACCGGAGTGGTGAAGTATTGTCAAAGAAACCCCCACAATTGACACAGAATGGTGGGGGGGCTTTCATTCGGGCGTAGGTTTTGAACAAAGAACTGTTATATTATCTAATTATTGAACGTGTAATTTGCTTGTCGTCTGCCTGCCAATTGCAGACAAGAAGCTGCTCGGCTCTGAGAGCAGGGCGAAGGTGACGGTGTCGAGGGAGGGGCAGCACATCCTGTCCGTGGTGAAGGCGGGGAAGAAGGACACGGGGGTGTACGAGTGCAGCGCCACCAACCACCTGGGCTCTGCTGCCACCTCCTGCAAAATAAAGCTTGCACGTATGTGTAACAATAACAACTGGAGAACGCCTTCTCCAGTGCCATGACACGGCAAGCCATTACAGGGGCTTGCCGCAGTGTTCCACAACGCTCACTCACGCGCATGTGCACACCGGTGAGTGAACACTGAGTGAACACTGAGGAACACTGAGGAACACTGAGTGAACACTGAGGAACACTGCGCTGTCGACTCACGCAAACGTGCACACCAATGAGTGAACAGCGAGTGAACGCTGTGTTCCTCACCGCGTCCGCTCACCAATATACGCGCGTGGCTTGAGAGGGAAGTGTGTTGTGCGAGGCCTCAGCTCGCCACTACACATCGTTATTTTACATCGCCATTGTGCTTCGTTGGTTAGAAAATTCTTTTTTGTGAAATTTCAAAAGCAAAAAAAACAGTTCTCAGGCAAGAGCGACGTGCACGACGACCCCACTTTCCATTTTGACTTCAGCTACGGCATTGTGGCAGGTAAAAAAAAAAGACATGGAATTTTACGTATACGTATTTTAAAGATTTCGGCCAGTAAAACCAAAGAAAAAAAATCAATGTCCTAACCCACGTTTTCTCTTCCTAGAAATCCCAGGCAGGCCTGGTCACCCAGAAGTTCCACAGGTGTACAAGGATGGCGCGCTGGTGGTGTGGAAGGCGTCCGAGTTCGAGGGAACGGCCACGTACACGATGGAGACTAAAAAGAGCGGTGCAAATGCCCACCCTGTCCATTTGATTGCAATACGAGGAATCTTGTGGTGATATTCTTCTCTCTGGCGATCCATATACCATGTATGGAGTGTTCTATGACCATTGGATTATAAATGCACGTTTTCCAAAACCTCGATCATAAATTTTTTACCTACGTGACTTTACCAAAAAAAAACCTAAGAGTATGGTAGACCGCCAGCGAGATGAATTCCCCGATTGCTTCTCTAGCAATGTATAAGTGTCTGCTCTCTCACCCACGCACAATTCGGCAAGTTTAACTCACTGTGGAGGTGGTGTTGGACCCCGCACAGCGACGCACGTGACGCGCCATTGTTTTCCCGTTGCTCAGGCGAGGGGATTTGGTCGTTGGTCGCGGCCGGGATCAAGGACCCGTACTACAACGTGATGCACCTGGTCCCTGGCGGCGTTTACAAGTTCCGCGTGTCGTGCGTGAACAAGGCCGGACAGAGCCCGCCGAGCCTGTCTTCGGACAAGATCGCCATCCCAGGTCATCTCCTCACAGGGCACGAGCCCACGGGTCACACTCCGACCTTAACCCATTGTTCACTGATAATGCGCACAGCTGTGGCAGGTGCACCTACGCGTGCCAATAACCTTTGTCGATCCACTGTTGGATGAGGACCACCCCACGGCCGCGTCGGTTGAGGGGGTTGTTTCATCTTATTTCACCATGGCGAGCGGTGCGGGTTGGTGAGGGATGGCAGCACAGAATTAGAGTTCAACATTGCCACTTACTGTGCTGCCCTCGGCAGCCCACAATGCCAGCTTGCAGCACGAGCAGCAGCAGCAGCCTAAAACAAACCTCACATGTCACCTCGCGTGTTGTTGAAGTCTCACAAGATGGCTTCTCGTGTTTCTCTTGAAGTAGCGGCACCTGAGAAGGTCGTGGACAAGAGGCGGGGAAGCCAATTGAGTCTGGACAAAGGCTCCGGAAAACCGGGTGTGCTGCAGAAGCCTTACACCTTCCTGGAGGAGAGGGCCAGGTGAGGGTCTGCAGAGCCAACACATTACCTTTGCAGTGAGGTGCCTGTAAGAAGCTGGTACGGCAAGCAGCCACACGTGCGGCATTTCACGGGGCACTCCTGCACTAAAATAAAAATCCGAAACAAACAAAGTGAATTTGCCAAAACGTCCCAACATGACATATTCCTGACAGTGAATCTTGATTATTTTTCATTGATGAATTATTGATTTCACGGTCCGAATGTAGCAAATGTTAAAACTTACCCACACATTAGAATATACACAGCAATCATCCCCACCCACCCCACTGTCAAAATGTTGAAAGGAAAAAAAAATCACGAATCTCAGTGAGACTTTCCTGGGTAAACAATTGTAACAATAGTTTATCCCTTGTTATTAAAACAACGTGATCGAACTTCCCATCCTCTTTGTCTAGCCCTCTAACGATTCACTCTCCCGGCAACTCGATGAATTGTCACGATTCAGGGTCGCGCTTCGATTCTCCTACGTCTCGTCTTTACGTCCTGGTTTATTATTGCTTCTTTGCTTTCGGTGCCATTTGTACTGCAATAGCCCCAAAGTAGCACCAGCATGGCATTTCCATTTCACAAACAATAAATAATCAGTTTTCATGCACGAATTTCTACACACACATCGCGAGTGTAAGAACCAGCACTGTGCTGCGTTGCGAAGGGGCCGCTTTGGAGTGATTCGCGAGTGCAAGGAGAACGGCACGGGTCGGGTGTTCACCGCCAAGATCGTGCCGTACGAGGTGGACAGCAAGCCGAGGGTGCTGCGCGAGTACGACGTCCTGCGCACGCTGCAGCACCCGGGCGTCATGTCGCTGCACGAGGCCTACGTCACGCCGCGCTACCTGGTGCTCATCACCGAGCGCTGCGGGGGCAAGGAGATTCTGTTCAAGCTCATCGACAGGTTCGTTGCAAGCTTACGCGTACGGCCCTACGGACGCGTGAGGGCCTCCCCCACGGCGTGCGGGGTTCGTGGGGGTTACTTGACCATAATTGGCCACGCCAGTGAGCGCAAATTGGTGCAAGCATGGAGCTGAACATGGAGCAGAGAAATGCAGCACAGCGATGACTTGTGGTGCATTGCCGTCTGCTGTTCACATCGTATCCCTACCAAGCGCTAGAATTGAGTGAGATTAAATATTCATCAAAACCACCGAACGTACGACAGAAAATCACGAATCGTGCTTCTTGCTGAGCCAGGCGTTGGATGGCCTTGGATATTCTGATCTTAATCTGTGCTACATTCACCATTAGCTTGGGCTTGTGGTGTCTGAGACGGCTTGTATGTGATGAGGAGTTGCGCAATTCTCAATTTATCTCGCTCGTATATATTTGTTGTTTTCATTAGTTTATTTGTATTTACTTCATATTTTAGTTTTTTTGTAATTTCTATGTGCTTCCGTGCAAAGCGTCTTCAGATGCTCCTGTATCTGGACGGTTTGTAAATTGACATTAATATTACATTATTCGCTTGTGTGTGTGGGCTTTGTCCATTTGTTTATCTGCACCCATGTGATGCGTTGCAGTTTCATTTTACGGCCGACTGCTTCAGCATGTGAGTAGACCAGCAATGTGTTACCCCCCTCTATTCACTCAGCACCAGATACTCGGAAGAAGAGTTGGTTGGTTACATGATCCAGCTGCTGCAGGCCGTAGACTACCTGCACCGTCGCCTCGTCCTGCACCTGGACATTAAGTCCGAGAACATCCTCATAACTGAGCAAAACCTCGTGAAGCTGGTCGACTTTGGGAGCGCCCACCAGTTCAACCCCAGCGACCCCCAGCCAATCGAGAACACCACCGGCGCTCTCGAGTACTTAGGTGAGAAGCCCTTGGCAAGTGACCCCCGGCGCGATGAATGACCTGTGCCGACTTTCCGGGGAACTTTTCGGGTTGGCCCGAGACGTCGACGACAGGGATTTGTGGACCGTGGCCTAGACGCCGGCTGACTGCCGCCCGCCCGCCCGCCCACCCTGGAGCGTGATTGATGTGGGGTGCAATTTGAGTGTTTCCTGTGTGGTTGCAAGCAGCCATTTATTTATAAATGGCAGGTCTGGGACAAACGCATCCATTTGGACTTTGCAAAGGGATCTTGAGGACACATATAAAGGTTTCCTGCAGCCTCCATGATTTACAAGAGCTGCACTGCTGCCTTAATTATAAGTAGGTGAACTGGCATCACTGCTGCAGCTGTTAGATCAAACGTCGTAAAACAGAGAGTCTTTCTTATTGTTTTGTTTGGCTTTTGGAATGGTCATACAACGCTTGTTTGTAACCAACTGAACACGATTTGCAAATGAATTGCGACATTACAGAGCATAATTTATTCCACACTCTCACAAGTGACTAAAGGTCGAGGCAGCGAGGCTTGTACTGATCGAGTGCTCGCGCTTACGTGAGAAATTCTATGCACAAATGTTGAAGGTAAAAGCTACGTTTCGTTCTAAGGCATACCTTCAAGTTTTGCCGTGCCACAAAACAGTTGGGTAAACACAGTCACAGCAGCCGAGTGGGGGTCGCCTTGCAGCTCGCTGTTGTAGTATTCTCGGCACGGCCACGCGTACTGTGTGGCTGGCACGACGCCACCTGCCGCTCGTCTGTCTTCACGCCGAGAGCGGAACGCGCACGTTGCCAATCAGAATAATGGGTTACATTAGACGGCGGTGGGGCAGACGCGTGTCTCAGCAGCGAAGGCGCCGCTGTCGTGCCGCTCGTTACTTTTTCACACCGCGGCGAGGTCAGTTTGCGTGGCTGGGGCAACTCTGCACGCAGCACGTAAACCATTTTGCAGCTTGTTTTATCAGTGTGTAAAAAAAAAACTTGCGCAAGGTAAAACATCGTGTGGATTATTTTATATTTACTTTACCCGCCGTCTTGAATTTATTTGTTTGATTTGTTCCGCTCCTCACAGCTCCCGAGTTGGTCAAAGGTGACCCAGTGGGACCCACGGCGGACGTGTGGTCAATCGGAGTTCTTGCCTTCATCATGTAAGTCTCGTGTTCCATATTGTGCCACGGCCATCACGTACATCTAAGACAGCCGTCAATACTAAAATGTACTCAAATTGATTCTCGTGAAACCTTCGGTTTCTGGCTCGCGTGCAGGATGAGCGGAGACTCTCCCTTCCTCGGCGCAAACGATCGCCTGACGGAGGAGAACATCAAGCTGTGCAAGCCTGACGTGAGCAAGTGCTACGTCAACGCCTCGCAGACGTCACTCCTGTTCGTCAAGAGGCTCCTCTGCATCTACCCACAGTACGTGCTCCCACAGGCAGTAGAGCATCTGAATCTATCGTTAAATCTATCGGAACGGAATTAGAATTAAAAGGCGATACGGGAGGGCATGTGGCACAGTTTGGCACCAGCTATCACAGAGTGCGGTTGTGTCACTGCGGTTCTCTGTCGTGAGTATAATGTCTTTAAAAACAGCGGCGCAACGCCTCTCTGAATAAAAGTAACGCTGAACCGCCTTCGCGTTCCGAGATGCAGCGTTGAACATGACACCCACTCTGCAACTTGTAGATAACTCGGACTGGGAGAGGCTTAATGATGAAACACAAAAGGATATTCAGTATAACTGAACAAGTAGTTATCAATAAGGCCTGCTGCTTTGTGCCTAAACGGCTTTTTTGTCAATCCACTGCCGGGTGAGGGCCTCCCCGTGCGATGTGGTTCATGGGGCTTATTTGATCGTACATCACCACACTAGCTAGCGCAGGCTGGGGAAGACGCGGAGCAAACATATATGGGCATCTAGAAGTATGGTACAATTAATGTTTTAGCACTGCCTTCTGCCACCGTTACACAGGCCCGTGGCCGTATGAGATCCTGCGTGTGCGTGGAAACAGTCTGCAGGCTCAAACGCCGCTTAAATTTAGAGATGTGAAATCTTGCTGATTTAGTCTTAGGTTTCTTTTGCTTCACAGCATAGGTATGTTGACCACGAGTCCTCCTCTTCTTTGATTTGCGAATAATGAACGTGTTTGCGAGCGAGCGGCTCCGACCCACGTCCACGTGTGCGGTCCCCTCCTTCCGCCCCGTGCCCAGGAGCCGCCCGTCCGTGCAGGAGTGCATCTCCATGCCGTGGCTGCAGGACACGCAGCTCATGAAGGACCGCCGCACCATCCTCTCCTTCCCCACCTGGAAGCTGCAGCAGTACCTGCAGGGGGCCAACCGCCGGCGTCTGGAGGCCGCCACCAGCCACCGAGTTCTGTTGCGCACGGGATCCACCTCCAAGTAGCCGGGGCGAGTGCCACAATCCTCGAGGCCGCAACAAACCACTGCTGGAATCAAGGCTGATACGAGCCAAGTCCACGTTGACTCGTCGTTGTTTTGAGTTTTGGGGTGACCACAAAATCTCGTGCGTTTTTCTTGCGTTCGCCCCAGATTCAAAGTTGAGCTGAAAATGGACAAAAAGTATCGCCATACATTTTCAACTGTAACCATTTTGAAATACAATCTTCGAGTGGTTTCTTTCAATTGATATTACATTTCGTGATTACTGCTGCTGAATAGCTCTGATCAGGCAGCATAAGTTATTTTGAAATGAAAATTAAAGTCGCTCATTTACATTTCAACAACTGTCCCCCCTGTATTCATTTAGAATCGGTCAAAAGTAGAAGTACGAGGAGGCACAATGGCGGTGTGCCTTGCTCATTGTGAGATGCAAAGTGGCAGGTATCGGGCGAGAGAGCCACAATTGTCGGTCTCTGAAGCCGCAACTTGAGCCAAATGTTTATAAAACAACAATTTTCCAACTAGAAGGTGTTTACGTTTATTTTGTTTAGACAGGTGAGAACTCAAAAGCGTGATCAGGGTCACCAAAATGACAACAGCAAAACAAACGAAATGAACTACAATAACGTAGCAGGGTGCGGCATTACATGTCTGGTGCTGTCATCCTGGTTACGCCACTGCTGTATAAGAGGTTTCTGATCTGTCATACACAGGTCAACAGAGGTGATTTATGAAAGAGATGGGAGAAAAAAGCTGCTACCGTTCCTGGCCATGGCACTTTCTTAAATAAGTTCGATATGCAATAAGGTGCCACTCTCAATTTAAGTTATTTTTAAGATCATGTCTCCTGATTGTATTAATTCTCCTGTTAAACTAAAGTACTGTGCGTTTAATGACAATCCCTCAATATTTACTGGTTGATCAACGGAGTTGTAAAATACATTACAATCAATACTCAAAAGAGTCATAGTGTATGGGGCATAGATGCAGAGAAGGAGAAGAGGGGATCTTGAGCAACCTGTAAATATTCACGAATAAGGATGACATCCTCAGCTGTTGACTTTACACCAAAATGGACAAATTGAGAGCAGAGTGTGATCCCAGAATACTGCAACTTCACTTTTCCATAATGCTTCATGCTAAGTGGCACCCTATTGTTGGACTGCATTGCCCGGTGGCTGTCATTGTGTGGCGGAGGGTGATCGAGAATTACAGGGTATTGAGGTGTCGTATGAAGTAGCATCGTATCGTGTAACCTGAGTTTTGCTTGATGGCTTCTGCACTACGATGATATGCATAGTTTATACGAGTTCTTCAAAGGGAGTGATACAAATGTACGCCAATCAAAATGAGCCCCACGTACAAATGTAGCTCTTGCTGCTTTACTGATAATGTAGCGGCAAAGGGACGTCCGCTTCTCAGTGTGTTTGGGTCTTGCATGTTCTTGGTTATGAGTCATGTGCTGGCTGAAACGTTTGTAAAAAACGTTAGGGCTGTATTGCAGTTGTTTCATTTCTAATTGACCAATGTGCTTGACGTGTGCAGACAAAAGCTTTCCCTCTCAGAACTGTGCAGGAGATGAAATGGGCTGGGGGAAAATACATTTGGCAATAACGTGGATGTGTTCGGTCGCCTTAACAACCCACTCACTACTTTTGTAACTTGTAAGGCTCCTGGGTTTGGAAAACGTGCATTTTCTTGTTGTAAAGGCCAACATTTGCGTTTTATAGTATATATTGAGCCTTAATGAGATTTAGCTAGAACTCTTTATTTTTGACATTTAAAATCTAACCTTCAAACCTAGCATGGATTATGTTGGTAATACTTCTGTTCTAAAAATATACACAGCAGCAATGCATGCCCTCCTTCCATTAACAAAGGTATGTTTGACAGAATGATTTGTAGTAACTTGGATGAATATTTAATTTACTTGGATCGTTCACGTGACATAGAAAGTAAATGTTGCAAATGCATTTAACTTTCACTTGTGAATGTCTTTGTATGCATTAGCATAGCTACCGTGAGTCTTTAATACGTGGGAAATGTGTGACCGTTTGGGACAATGACAAAAGCAGATGTGAACATTCAGTAAAATATGCAAACGAGAGAGAAAAACTTGGCATCATTTACAGAATCCATCAGTCTACCAGTTCCACAGTGTATGACAAATTAAATGTACATTGTTAACCAGACATCAAGTTGTCTTTCATTTAGCTCACTATAGTAATTAAGTAATTATGTACAGCCCTTTGTCAATCCACTGCTGGATGAAGGCTTCCTTGTGCCGTGTTGAAGAGGTGAATGATATCTAAACCGGTGCCTGCTCCCACCGCTTCAACAAATGATGTTAGCCAGTGGCTGGGAATCTAACTCGGGTCATCGCCTTCATAGGGGAATACGCTAACCACTACATCACCTCTCCCCCTTAGCTCACTGTGAACATTCTTGCTGGTTCTATGTTGACAAATTGAGGCATGATGAGCCTGAAATTGTTTCTTATTCAGCAATAGAGATTATAACAACAAAAAAGCTTTCCCTGAACAAGTGACAGTCAAAATAACAAGAACGAAGCAGACATGGAACCCCCTTAACAATTACCGATTGAATCGTTTGAACACTGATGGTTTTGCATTTCGAGCTAGCTTAATGTTTGTCACGCTACCCTACTGTGGTTATTTTGAGCTGCGGGAGCTGCCATGCCTCTACAAGGCAAAGGGAAGAGTGCTCGGGTGGCTGCTGGCAGCTGACTGTGCACTTCTGCTTGCGAGGCAGAGTTGAGCATTGCTGTGTGCACAATATAGCAGGGGCACCTCATTCTGTCCATTGGGTTACAATTTGAATTTTCAACGCACGCTGTGTAGGTGTTTGGGATTTATTTTTCATTCTACCCACCTGCAATCGATTTATCGATGGCATCACGACACTGGTTTCCTATTTCAGAATTCGGCCATCAAGTGCCTTCAGACGAGAGGCCTATGAGGAGGCGCACGTGAATATGCTTCAGAATGTTAAGGGAGGCAGCAAAACGGGGTTGGAGTGGGGCCTGCAACTGCAAAAAATAGTCACGGCTCGCTAGGCAAGGATCTGCCTGATAAGGCGTCGACTGATGCTTGTTTATTCATAGTACGAGTTAATTTGTCGCAGAAAGGGAATATATATAATAACTAAACTAACTTGTCTGTGGAAATGTTTCGTTCATAAAATTATAATTTTGGTAAGGAAAATCCAGTGTAACCAACAGTGAAGCTTATAAACTCAGAAACCCATTACAGTACACATGAAATTGATCAATATTGTACTGGAATTGATTTTGGGCCCACGTGTGAAAGGATCTGAAAAGAAGGAAACTCGGATGCATTATCAACCACTGCACCTGTTCATGGATTGGATTTCTTCCATGGAAAAGTAATAAAATAATTCATCATGTTTATTCCAGGAGAATTATGTCACTCTTTCCAAGTTAAGGGTATCCTGCCTCCGAGGGGCAGGGCAGTGAGTTGGATTACTAAAGCGTGGCGGTTTTTGTGAACTAAACATATTTTATGAAAATGTGAAATTAAATGTAACATAACAAAACATTGTAACAGCACCTTCACATATGGAGAGTGGTTATATTCAAGGATATTCCACAACAGATGGCGCATGAGCCTACCACTCACAAGGAGTGGCTATTTCTTCCAGTATTTGAGGCACAGCAGCACCAGCAGGGTCAACCCCACCTTAGCTGAGGGGTTTTTCCTCCCCCAAGACCCCACAGAAATACTCAGAAAGCCTGCGAACTTAGTCTTGGTGATCGGAGATCGGATTACCATTCTTGCCCTTAAGGATGGTGATCGGTGTGGTGTCGCAAGTTACTTTTTTGATGGTGTTAATAAGTGATTTGTTATAGCGTGCTACTGAAGCAGTTTCCATTTCCTCAGCAACTCGCGACCACCACTCATCCTTGAAGCACCGCGCGGCTCTCTGAACCTATGAGCGAAGGCTTATGGTAAGCCTCCTCGTTCTTGGACATGGGATGTTGTAGACCGTGGGAGTGGGCCTGCCACTTTCAAATAGCCGGAACACCTCCTCCGTTAGCCAGATGTTCTGGGGAGGTCGGGGATTGTGTACCCAATGCAGCCATAGCAGCTGCATAAGTCGCTACCAACCCCAGTTGCAAGTGATGATGATATTCCCACTTGCAACCTTCATCAGCTAGACAAGACGAGGCCGTTGTGGATTTGAGCCGGGTCCTTGATGGATGATTATCGCCACAGTGAGAATATGGTAGGCGCATCCTACATGATGACGAGCCGATGGTCAGTAGGGAGATCGGCTCCACGGTAGGTTCAGCTGCGAAAAACAACTATGTACTTCAGCAGATGTTCTTGCTTGGACCTGGCGTGCATCCAAGATGTTGTGTGAATGTGCCGCTGCCGGAACAACGTGTTGGTCATTACAAGCCCATGGGCTACACAGAAGTCTAGCAGCCTCCTACCGTTGTTATTAAGCTGAACTGGCCCATGCCTTCCCATCAGTCTAGACCAGATGTCTGCGTCATGACCCACGCGGGTATTAAAATAACTAAACTAGAAACTTCGATTTAAAGCTTTCGTGACTGCAGGGATACGTGACTTTACTGAAAGAACCAAGAAGATAAACTAGAAACTTTTTTATTTTACCAGCTAAGGGCCATCGAGCTATTTTGCTTTTTCAGAGGCGACCTGGCGACAAATTATAGCTCAACGAACTTGTCATGTGGAAATTTATAGCAGCCCAAAACTCTAAACGAATGTTTTAAAACATGTTTTGAAACATGCGTTTAGTCATTAAGGTCACCCAAGAGGATGACTCCCGAGGGGCCACTTTAGCCAGCGACTGGGACAGGCCAAATAATGTATCTGACTCATCATTTTACGTGACTAACACATGGTTATTATACTGCTCTCCAGGTATTTAGCTTTGCATTTTCTTTGGAAATTAAGCGCACCAACCTGTGATCATTGTGTTGAATTTACCGTGAACATAGATTTGACAATTGCTGCGTTGACTCCATTTCCATGTTACGAACTTCCTTTTGAAGTTTATATTCGTGTCCATGCAGGTTGTAAACTATTTTAGATATTCTACTCTCTCGTTCCTCAGCAACTTATACCTACTTTTGCATTGAGATAATGATCTATATCATACCGTCATTTGTTATTTACTGTATTTAAGATCTAGTCAGTTTCAGAACTCCACCAAAACAGTTTTACAAACCTAATAATGATCATAATATTAAGACACATCAGGTGTGAATTACTGACTATCGTACGAATGGGGTGATTAAATGCACACTCGTTCAAGATTACTATATTACAATAAATGTGTCTAATTTAAAATTCCACTTTAAATAGTATTTTCAGCCGCGGCATGGAGTTGTGACCTCCATCCAGCAGAGGAATCAAAAGATATTGCAGCACATGCACACCTGTCAATCCCTAATCGGTGCCCTAGCTTATTACAGACCATTTCAGACCTTATTTGTCACCCCGTGCCCTTATAAATCTCAACGTTCATCATACAAAGTCCCATCATAAGGGAGAAAAACCCCAAAAAAAATTGATAAAAATAGTTTTTACTCAATTTCCCTGTACAATAATACGCGTAAACCGTATGGGTTGACAGGTATGCACTTGTACACGTGCTCATTAACAACACGCGGCAGTATTCTCGTGCGAGTTGCTAGCGACAAGCGACACGCCTGTTGCTCACACGACTGATCCTACCCAACAGCTGCATGTAAGCCCACAACGCCAATGCAACACCAACTTCAAATCCAGAATGACCCATTATCATGTCACAAGTGGCACTCGTGCTCCGCCACATTCGTGTTTGGCAAGGCCTGCTGTGCGGCTTAAACGTCATTATTCTTTGGTTCTTTCGGTAAAGTCACGGAGGTATAAAATAAAATAAATCACGACGTTTCGGGCGCAACACAAGCGTCCGTCATCAGGTGGGAAAGCTGACGGATGCTTGTGTTGCGCCAGAAACGTCGTGATTTATTTTCTACCTACGTGACTTTACCGAAAGAACCAACGAGTATGGATTACTGCAGTCACGAAAGCTTCAAATCAAGATTAAACGTCATTGTTCAGTCTGTGAATTGCCTACCAATAATACCTGCAAAGGATGTGAACACTTATCATTTGGAATTCTCAGTTCGGATGCGGAATTATAATCCGCATTGTGAGCGTCTGCTGCCATCTGGTGGCTGATGGAGCGTACGGTGGATGGCAAACAATGGGCAGTGGCCCAAGCACATTTGTACAACACATTGAGAGCTTAAGCACATGCCGCCCTCTCCTGGTCATAAACACAAACAGCTTTAAGTCTCACCGTGAAGACAGGTTAGTCCGTACAGTGCTGTGATACAAAGGACAACAAAATAATAATAGTACAAGACACTTTTGTCTCGCACCGGTGAAAAAGTGCCTTGTTAATAATTAAAAAAACCCCATTGTAATGAAGCGAATCAGTCAGATTTACGTTTATAATCTAGCGTGTGTGCAACCAACTGACTATAGTTAAATTCCGGGATACATTGTGCCATCGCCTGATGGGACCTAGAACTCATGCCCCACACTACTTCGGAACAAAGTTGTCAACCTATCAGCGCTCTCACCTGGCGCGGTCATTTACTCAGAGCGAGCTCATGCCGCCCCAGAATTGTGTACATGGGTCATCATTGTAAAAGTCATTTGAATACAGTAATCCATACTGCAATTGCCCTACGAATGACGCAGATTTATGGTAGCTCCCGCGAACTAAGGAGCAATATCTTGCTAGATATTATTAATTGTAGATGAAAGGCTGTTTGATAACCTCCACACAACGTACAACAACAGTGTGTCGCAGGCCCAGTGTGCCTGCTCTCTACTCAAGCACTGCTGGTTCGATGGTGAGCCAGAACCAGTGGTGGAAATTCCACATTTCAATGACGTGGGCAAGGGGCCGTCCATAAATGACGTCACGCACCTAGGGGGGGGGGGATCAGACATTTGTGACGATGTGTGACGATGGGGGGGAGGTGAGAAATGTGACGTCACATAAAAATGCGTAACTTTAAATAAATTTTGACAACACGTTCTACTAATCTTCTTGAATCCCTGCAGTCACGAAAGCTTTAAATCGAAACGTTCTACTTAATTAAATACTTTTTAATCAAT